CTTGTATAGCCATCCGGGAGTGGGAGGACGTTTGTGTGTACTTGGCGAGTTCGATTTGCTTTTGGGCGAATCTGTTGAGGCTGTGACCTTGTTTTCTGTAGTTGCGCAACCCACACTTGTGAATCGAGTGTTAGAGACAGGGAGGTGACCTTGAGGTAGAATCCCTCTGAGAGAAGATCTCCAACGGAAAGGCTGAGAAGGTTTGACTGTGTATCCCGACCTGAGTGTGAGACACCGAGATCTGTTTGTTTGTGCCGGAGTTTGTAGAGAGGAAGTACTCCGAGATCACTAATATCGCGCCTCGGTGCATCCCAGAGGCACTAAGATGTATCGTGATCTGGGTCGCCAGTTTTGGTGGCGGGGTATGAAGAGAGATGTGGTAGTTTTTTGTGTCTAAGTGCCTTACTTGTCAGCAAAGTGAAGGTCGAACATCAGAGGCCAGCGGGTTTGTTGCACCCTTGCCTATTGCCGAGTGAAAGTGAGACAATCTCACTATGGCAACTTCGTTGTAGGTCTCCGAGGATTCAAGTCGGGTAGTGATGCTATTTGGGTGGCTATAGACCGGTTGGACTAAGATCGGCACACTTCATTCCTATGCGCGTGAGAGATTTTTGGTATAGATCATCTTGCCGACTTGTATATTCGAGACATAGTGAGGTTGGCACGAGGTCCCAGCTGACGATCGTCTCTGATAGAGATCCTCGTTTTACTGCTAGGTTGTGGCAGAGCTTGCAGAGTGCCTTGGGCACTAGGTTGACCTTTAGCACGGCTTATCACCCTCAGACTGACAGGCAGTCCAAGCGTACTATTCAGATCCTTGAGGATATGCTTTAAGGTTGTGTCCTTGACTTTAGTGGGTCGTGGGAGAGGCACTTGCCCTTGGTAGAGTTTGCCTACAACAACAGTTTTCAATCCAGTATTGGTATGGCACTGCTTGAGGCCTTGTATGGCTGACCGTGTAGATCTCCAGTTTGTTGGGCCGAGGTGGGTGATGCATCTTTGTTGGGCCCAGAGTTGGTGAGGGAAACGACGGAGAAAGTTGAGCTTATCCGTAGGAGGCTTGTTACAGCCCAGAGTCGCTAGAAGAGTTATGCCGACCGTAGGAGGAGGCCTTTAGCATTTGAGATGGACGATCATGTCTTCTTGAAAATATCACCTAGGCGGGGTTTCATGAGGTTTGGGAAGAGTGAGAAGTTGTCCCCTCGGTTTATAGGCCCTTTTGAGATCCTTGAGAGGATTGGTGAGGTCGCCTATCGTTTAGCTTTACCGCCGCAGTTGTCCGGGGTACATGACGTGTTTCATGTTAGTATGCTTGGAAAGTACGAGCCGGATCCATCACATGTATTGGATTGGACCAACTTAGAGGTTGATGAGGATGCCTCATATGAGGAGAGACCGGTGCGGGTCTTGGATAGGCAAGAGCAAGTCTTGCGAGGTAAGACGATACCCTTGATAAAGGTTTTGTGGAAACATCACGGAGTGGAAGAAGCCACATGGGAACGTGAGTTGGAGGTCTGAGAAAAATATCCGGACTTGTTCATTAACATTTAATTATGTAATGGGAGTTTTGTTTTGTATTGATAAACCTTAAGAGTATTGAATATTTCTCAAGTTGTAAAACATGGCATATGTTTTAATTTATGGAAGCATTGTTGAATATGCTTGGAAAATGAAAGTTTATTTTAACATTGCATATGTTAATTCTGTTTTAGAAATGCAAATATATTATTGGCATTGGGTATGAAATTGAATTGTGGAATATGTGTTGAAATTGGTGAATTTCAAGGAAATACATGTTGATAATGCATGTTGTAGAATATGTTGTAAATTGCCCCTTGAGAAGGGATGGTATGACCGGTGATGGGTCAGGTTGATATATATTGAATTGTAATAGTGTTGATACTTGAGAAAGAAAAACATGTTTTTGAAAACTTGTACTTAATTTCGGGGACGAAATTCCTTAAGGGGGGGAGGTTATAGCGATCCCGGTTTTTCCTTCCTTATTTACTGTATTCTGGACTCGGTTCCGTTGATAGTTATGGTTGTCTGTATTTCATTTCCGTCCTTTAATGCTTTGGATTGGAGTTTAGAAATGTCTTGGGTGTGTTTCGAATAGGTTGGTTGAGCTTTAGTCCCATTTCTTGTTGTCCAGATTTTTGGTGGTCCGCTCGAGCGGATCCCTTCGCACTTGAGCGGAGTTTGCACACCTTCAGTAGTTTGTCCATCTACAAAAGTATTGCAAATGTGCTTTTCACGCTCGAGAGGATTTCCTTACGCTCGAGCGGGTATCCTTGCGCTCGAGCGGGTGTTCTTTGTCTGTAAAAGTATTGGACAAGTGTAATCTACGTTCGAACGGGTTTCCCTTTGCGCTCGAGTGGGTGTGTTTTGCAGTTGTGTCTTGACGCTCGAGCGGGTATTCTTGTGCTCGAGCGGGTTCAGTTTTTGTGCTTGACGCTCGAGCGTCCTATTCTCCGCTCAAGCGGACTAGTCGTATATCAGATTACAACTGGGTGATTTTAAATCACTTTTGACACTTTCTTTCTCTCTCTTTCTTTTCAAAACCTCCATTGGAGAGCACCTCACTCTAAAACTCCAACTTCTCTCTAGGGTTTGATCTAGTAGGAGTGATCTTCTACCCTTGGACCTTTGTTAAAAGTGTGGAGTTTGTCTTGGGCTACCTATCAATCCGAAAATCTTGGGATTTGGAGCACTTTCGATTTTCTTCACCTTCTCCTTTGATCTTCGAATTTGAGGTAGGGATAACTACTCATTTTTATGAGCTTTAACCTAAATGTTGAGCTTTTTGTATAAATGGTTTGGTTTGGGAAGTTAGGGTTTGAGATGTGTTATATTGGAAAGAGGGGTTTTGTTCTTTTGATTCAAACATATGTGTTTTGGGTCTAAAAATGAAGGTTATTGATGTTGTTGATACTATTTGGACCTTTGGGTCAATGTTGAGGAAAGGGAAAAAATGCCATGTTTGGATATATTTGGGTCATTAGTATAATAAATGGCATTTATTATTGAAATTTGAAATTTGAAATTGAGTTGGGAATAATGAAATTAGCTCATTGTGTAGTAGAATGGTGGAGTTGGACTTAATAATCACTCACCTTTGAGAATTATTGATAATTTATCTGTTGGTGCATTTATTATCTGTTTAGAAATAATTGCTTTGGGCTATCGGTGGAGGATAGTCTTGATTGTTGTAGACACTGCATGATGATTAGGTGAATTAAAACTAATCAATTTGAGTATGTCATTGAGTATGACGGTTGGAATAATACAACGAATATGTGTATTGATTGGTCATTGGATATGATGAGTATTTGAATACATGGGTGCCGAATCCCGCGGATGAAATTTTCGTAAAATCGAAATTCGAAAATATCTATACATGGGTGCCGAATCCCGCAGATGAAATTTCCGTAAAATGGCAATTCGAAAATATCTATACATGGGTGCCGAATCCCGCGGATGAATTTTCGTAAAATGGCAATTCGAAAATATCTATACATGGGTGCCGAGTCCCGCGGATGAAATTTCTGTAAAATGGCAGTTTAAAGTATTGTTGGCATGAGATGTAGTCTTATTTAAGTTGTTTGGCTAGGTTTTGAGCCGTGTTTAGAAGTTGAGATTTTGTTAAGTGAAGGATTATGGAACTGGATTGTACTGTATGTTGGTTTATATGAGTTAAACATTTATCAAGTGCTAATGTTTTAGTTATTGCTCATATTATGTTTAGCATATCTCTACTGGGCATTGACTCAGCCTATTTGGGACATCATTTTCAGGTGCAGGTGACATGCCACCTCCAAGGACGTAGCTTGGGAGGCTTAGTGGCTGAGAGACCTTTTTGATTACTTTTTGTATTACATGTATATCAAGCCAAGGGCTTATTTTGTGTAGAGTTAGTACTCTCCTTTTTGTAACCAAGTGTTGACTTGGAAAGTTGTAAGCCCGTAGGGCATTTGCTTTTGTTGTCAACATGTAATATATTATGTAAGAATACTCTGATTTATGAAATGTGATATTTCTTTCTTGTATCATGGATGGCTATTTGTGGGTTTATTTTGAGGGCGTTACAAAATCTGTTTATTATCAAAATAAAAATGTTTATGTTGACCATTTACAATAATTATTTATACTTATTATTTGATGTTATGTAATCTCAATAGTTTAAATATTCATGTGAAATTTACTATATAATTTGGGACAGAACTAAAATTTAAGTTTTGTGGTGCTAAAACATAAATGATTATGTTTTTTTATTTACCAATCGATATGAATTATCATATTCCAAAATAAGAATAAAAAATAAATTAGGACTTAATTTTAAATTAACACATAACAATTAAATGGTTTTTACCTAAAATTGAAGACAAATAAGTGAATATAAACAGCATAAAAAAGTTAAATCATACAAAAAAAAAAAAAAAAAAAAAAACTTGAAGTCTGAATTACTCACATGTATTAAGCATTCGATATCATATGGTAAAGAGTTATGTTAGGGAACCTAAATAAATTCTCAAATTTTCTACGAAACGTAGTATTTTCCTATGGTAAAGAGTTATGCTGGGGTAGGGGTCTATAGCAAAGGGGCAGGGTCAACATATACATAGCATTTTGCTGTTTTGAAAATAAATTTAGATAAAATTTACAAAAAAAAAAAGAAGCAACATTTATATTTGCTTGATTACAGTAGCACTCCCATGAAATTTCCAACTTTGAGCAAGCACTTGCTTCGGGACTCTCCAAATGTGGCCAACTCGACCACGCCGTTCAACTGTTCGACAAAATGCCTCACAGAAACTTGGGTCAATTGAATTGCTAGTGAAATCCCAACCCAGTTCGCCGTTTCAAGTGTTTTTCAGGCCTCTGCATCACTTGGGCCAATTGAATTTGGGAGGCAAATGCATTGTCTTTCTTTAAAATGTGGGTTTAATTATAAATTATTTATGGGTAGTAATTTAGCTGATATGTACTCTAAGTGTGGCGAGATGGTTGAAGCGTGTAAGGTCTTTGAGGAGATGTTGCATAAGGGTGAGGTGTCATGGACCGCTATGATTGATGGGTATGCGAAAAATGGAGATTTTGAAGAATCTTTATTAGCTTTTAAGAGGATGGTGATGTATAGAGACGTAGTTATTGATCAGCATCTGCTTTGTAACACATAAGGTGCTAGTGGGGCTCTAAAGGCCTTTGATTTTGGAAAATCTATTCATTCAAGTGTAGTGAAGTTAGGATTTGAGTTGTATCTTGTTGTGGGTAATGCCTAAATAGATATTTATTCAAAAGTGGGCAATATGGAAAGTGCTCCAAATGTATTTGCAATTGGCTTTGAGGGTTTATACTTCTTTAATTGATGGGTATGTCGAGAAGGATCTGTAAAACCCAAGTTGTGTGAAGAATTATTTTATTGGATAGATTAGTAATTAAATTAATTTATATGGGTCATTTATTAATATCAAACAATTAGTTATGAGATGTCATTATATTTTCTATTACTTAGATGGATAATTTTGTAGTTTTGAGGAATTAGGTTAATAAGCCCACTTGTTGTGGCTTTAAGTCCTGGGAAACAAACAAAACAGAGGTTGGTGAATTGCTCCATAGGCGGCAAGGGTTTGAGAAGGTAAAAGAAAAAAAACGAAAAAAGAAAAAGTGAAGAGAGGTTCAAGTGAGGCTGCAATAAGAATTGGAGGTAGCACGTTGGGTGATATTGGGACATCCATTGGTTGAGGTAAAAATCTTCTTGTATTGTTGATTACTAAGTTTATGTTGAGGAATTAAACAATCAATGCATTATGGGGATTTGGAAGATTTGTAGGTGCCTATTTAGATTTTGAAAATTGGGTGCAACATGTAAGTGTGGGTGGGTAATAGATGGAGTTTTGTATCATGGGTAAGGGTGTGTTTGGCTATAAAGTTGGGTTGAATGGTTTGGTGACTTGGATATTAAAGCAATACATTAATCTAATATGGTGGGGCTTTTGTGGGTGTATGTAATACGAAAAAATATTAATTTATTTGAGGTTTTATTTATTAGGTTTGGGTGATTGAAGTGGTGGAGCTGGGTGTTTGGAATTGGTGTTGGAATATTTTTTTTAAGCGTTTGAGGTAAGTAATCCTCTATCATTATTAGTACATTTTTATTCTTATTGAATCGCTTAAAATTATAAGTATTTATTTATAGCCTTCATGTTCTCTTAAAATAAAATATGGGTCAAGTATAAAACAATATCGAATATTATTATGAAAATTATTTGAATATTTTGTGAAACTATTATGAAAATTGTACTAAATGTTTATTTTGAAAATATCGAATATTTTATTTAAAAGTTGTGTATTGTTTGAATTTTGAACATCACTCTAATCTGACTATGATTTGGACCCTAGCCAATAGGGGTTATTTATTGGCACAAAAACTAGTTTCTTTTGGGGCTTTACCACCGGCCTATGTGTGATTTTGGGCCTTGTCACGGGCTAAGTGACCGTAGTCACCAAGACTTGGGTTTTGTGAATGGCATCATTGAACCATTGAATATCGAACCATCAATTTTGAACAACGAAATTTAGTGGAATTACCTCATTGTCTTTTCAATTAAAATGTATTGCTACACTGTTTATTTTCAGCTATGAAACCATCTTACAAAATAATTGTTCATTTGTTGAATGGTAGCAATAAATATATTTATTGGTTATCGACTATTTTTTTTTTGTATACTTGATCCAACTAGCAATGATGGTTGGTTATTTACTGGGCTGTCCAGCTTACCCTTATTTTATTTTTTTTCAGATTCTGAGGAGTAGAGTTGTGCGGGGTTTTTACTTGTGGGAGTGCCAAGAGTTGGATTATTATTTTGTTAGTGGATTATATTAGTGGACTTAGTGGACAATTTCATATGATAAGAATTATTTATTTTTATGGATTTTGACATTATGATAATTAAAGATTTAATTTGAGTATTTTATATTGTTGGTTTACGTGATTGGACGCTTAGCCTTGCATGCTCACTTAAATAAGTGTGCGGAGCTATCACGGAGCTTGGGGCGTGACAGGATCAAATTGAGAAGGCTTCGGATGTTTATCTTGAGTTGCGGAGGTGGGGGATTAAGCCAAATGAATTCACTTTCTCTAGCTTGATAAAGGCATGTACTGACCAAGCTGCAATTGAGCAAGGGACCCAACTTCATTCCCAAGTAGTTAAATTCAACTTTGACAAAGACCCATCCGTTTCTTCAGCTCTCGTTGATATATATGGGAAATGCAGTCTGCTTGATCATTCAATCCAAGTGTTTGCGGAGATTGAATACCCAACTAAGATTGCATGGAATTTGCTAGTAAGTGTGTTTGCTCAACATGGATTGGGAAAAGATGCTATGAAACTTTTGACAAGATGCTTCTAAGTGGAATTAAACCAAATGCTATAACATTTGTCAGTTTTTTAAATGGTTGTAGGCCTGCAGGATTGGTAGAAGAAGGATTAAATTACTTTCATTCCATGAAAAAGATTTACAGAATATTTCCTAGGTTAGAACATTACTCGTGTTATTGATTTGCTTGGGCATGCAGGAAGGCTTAAAGAAGCTGAAGAACTTATCAATAGCATGCCATTCGAGCCAAATGTTTTTGGATGGTGTTCTTTTCTTGGGGCTTGCAAGTTGCGGGGCAACAGAGAGGGGCAAACTAGCGGCAAAACAATTGATGAGACTTGAACCCAAGAACAGTGGTGCTTATGTTTTGCTTTTGATTATTTATGCGGAAATGGGACGATATAAGGAGTGTTAGGAAGGCGTTGAGGGATGGGAATGTGAAAAAATTTCTCAGGTATAGTTAGGTAGACATCGGTAACAAAACCCATGTTTTTGGAGCTGAGGATTGGTCTCATCCAAAAAAGAAAGAAATATACTGAGAAACTTGATAGTCTTCTTGATCAGATCAAGAGAGTTGGATATGTTGCTTTCACAGATTCTATCCCACTGGACCTAGACAATAATACGAAGGAGAAGGTTCTTCATCGTCACTGTGAGAGGATAGCTATCACATTTGCACTAATAAGCATGCCAGTTGGGAAGACAATCACCGTGAAGAAAAATTTGAGGGTATGTGTGGACTGCCATTCTGCAATAAGTTTATGTCCAAGGTTGTTGGGATAGAGATAATTGTCAGCGACAAAAGTAGATTTCACCATTTCGAGGATGGGTCGTGTTTTGGTGGGGATTATTGGTAAGATTTTGAAGGCAATTTGAAGGGTGGTGGAGGATACAATGCTTAGAATCATAGAACTAATCACTGTGGCGGAGGTCTTTGAGATCTCTGAACTTTTTGTTCATGCGCTACTGTAATTTGGTACTTTTGGCAATGAGGGTTTGCTCAAATGATAAGCTAGATTACACGGAGGAAAATGACTTTCATGACTATTTTTTTGCTGCCAAAATCAAGGGGTTAATAAGATCAATGGCTGTCACGAATAAATACAAGGCATCAAAGCTTGCTTTACAGAAGATATGTTGAAGTAAGAACATTTTGGCAATGTCAAAACTCATATTTTGGCATGCTACGGTACCCAAAATGGTATAAATGTAATTTTTTTTTTGTTTTATTTTCTTCATAGAATGTCAAATAGAATTCCAATATTAAATTCTCATGACTTTGAGCAAAGCATCATTGAAATTGATTCTACCGAAAGAATTTTTTTTTTGACATCCTTGCTGGAGATCATAATCCAATATTACATCTCTAACATAGACAAAATAGGTTTCAGCAACTATGTGCGCCACTTGGAATAAAAAAGGTGAAATTAATCTGTTCGTATATAGCAGCTTTCATACATATTAGTTGTAACAACAACCAATGTCTTGAAAAAAATACAATACTTGACATTTCTAAACATGGGTTTTTTCTTCTACAGGAAATGCAAGCATTCATTTTATTCATTTATTGGACAAAATCTGTTTCTGCATTCCATAGTTGTAAGACTTTGAGCAAAGCTTCATTGAAATTGATTCTACAGCAAGCCAATTTTTTTTTTTTTTTTGACATCCTGGCTGGAGATCATGATCCAATATATTGCGTCTCTAGCATAAACAAAATAGGTTTCAAAAAATATGTTTGCCACTTGGAATGTAAAAGGTGAATTTCAAATGTTTACATATAGCAACCTTCATACATATTAGTTGTAACAACCAATGTCTTGAAAAAAATATGTACTCGACATTTCTAAACATGGATATTTTTTTTGATAGGAAACACAAGCATTGACTTTATTCATTTATTGGATAAAAATCTATTTTTGCATTCCATAGCTGCAGTAGTGAAATTGCACAAAGAGGTGTAGCGAAAGTCTTCCTGACGGATTGAAACTCTTGAGATACACACAGCATTGTTGGACGAGATCTCGGCTCAGAGTGCAAGCATGCAATTGCCATTCTAGCAACTAGAACAATGTTTCCCACAAGCATTAGATTAGTTGGAAGCGGGAGCAGATTGTGATGCCAATGATGAGAGTAGTTCTCCCGGATGCCTTCCCATGATTGTTTCCAATGCCACCACCTCAAAGCTATAAGCATCACACTTTTCAGTCACAACCATGGTGTAAGCAAGTACTGCACAAACAAAAAGATCAATGAAAGAAGCCATAAACTTCACTTTCTATTTAAAAAAGTTAAAAGGAAAGGTATTTTTTGCTACCTGGAGCAATATATCCATGAGTGCCTGCAATAACAGTTTGATTCGATGAATCGGGAGGTAGCAGTCTAGCAGTGCCAAAGTCGAAAACAAAAGCTTCCAATTTAAAGTTCAATAGAATGTTGTTGCTTGATATATCCCGATGAACAATAGGTGGGGTGCAATCATGATGCAAATAGGATAGAGCATGTGCTATTGCTTTAACAATGTTTACCCTCAGAGTCCATCCTAATTCAACAGCTTCAGCCTCAATTCTCAAGGAACAAAACAAACTACCCCTTTCCATGTACTCGTACACTAGGAACATGCATCTGTTGTGCAAACAAAGCCCATAAAGCTTGATTATGTTTCGGTGTCGGATATTAGTTAACATTTGCACTTCGTTTCTGAAACTCTTGTCGAAAGCTGGCTCATCTGCTTCCAAATGATGGAGTTTTTTCAACGCAATTACTTTGCTAGATGGCAACTGAGCTCTGTATACGTTGCCATAACCACTGGTTCCAATGCAGTGTCTGATGTCAAAGTCATCTGTTGCTTTGATGATGTCTTCATATGCGATTCTTCTATCGTAATTCCATATCGAGCAAATATCCCCATTTTTCATTGCCTTTGTCTCAATTTGTTTTTTCTGGGCCTTGTGACCGCGAAAACATGCAAATGCAAGAAATGAAAGGAAAACTATGATGGGGAGGGAAATGATGGGAGTAAACATTGCTATTTTTTTCTTGGAGCCATTTCTTGCTTCATACCTTGCAGTTTTGTTATGTGCCAGTGATGGGGGCAGACAATCATATCCATATTGCGGGTTTTGACCCTCGAGATGATTGTATGACAGGTCAAGATCTTCTATTCTATGTAGCAAAGACTATATGGGACTTTGCCAGAGAGATTATTGTGGGAAAGATCTAAGTGCCTTAAGTATAACAAATTTGTGAGTCCAGTGGGTATTGTTCCATTCAAGTAATTATTACTCAAATTTAAGTACTCCAAAAATCTGAGATGTTCTAGCTGTTTTGGGATAAGTCCACTAAGCAAATTGCGAGAGAGGTCCAGATATCGAAATTCAAAGACAAATTTGATTGGTGGTACCTGGTCTAAAAGTTGGTTCCATGACAAATTGAGATGAGCAAGGCTTGATAATTGTCCAAGTTCAGGTGGTATGGTGTCGTTAATCTGATTTGCAGACATGTCAAGATGGAACAAGTTCATCAACTGGCCTATAGAAGATGGGATTTTACCGGTAAGGAGGTTGTGTCTGAGGTCTAAGTAATCAAATTGTGTCAAATCTCCTATTTCTGCACGAATTAGGCCCTGAAGGCTGTTAACACCTAAATCCATCAAAACCAAATTCTTTAGCTTCCCTATTTCTAGAGGAAGGGAACTGTTAAGTCTATTTGAAGAGAGACGCAAATGGGTCAATTTGGTCAATTGACCAATAGATGAAGGGATTGGACCACTAAGGATGTTAGCATTAATATTCATTTCAACCAAATTCTTCAACTTTCCTATTTCTGGAGGAATGGAACCGCTGAGATGATTTAACGAGAGATCTAGAGTAGCCAAATTGGTCAATTGACCAATAGATGAAGGGACTGGACCACTAAGGATGTTTTGATCGATATACATGTCAACCAAATTCTGTAGCTTCCCTATTTCTAGAGGAATGGAACAGTTAAGTTGATTTGAAGAGAGATGCAATGATGTCAAATTGGTCAATTGACCAATAGATGAAGGGATTGGACCACTAAGGATGTTACCATGAATATTCATTTCAACCAAATTCTTCAACTTCCCTATTTCTGGAGGAATAGAACCGTTGAAATGATTTAAGGAGAGATCCAGAGTAGTCAATTGGTCAATTGACCAATAGATGAACGGATTGGACCACTGATATTAGCACTAGATATATGAAGTTGTACTAGTTGGGTGAGGTTTCCCAAGGTGAGAGGTAGCAAACCTTCAAGATGATAGTTGGTGGAGAGATCAAGCCTGGTGAGCTTTGACAGAGAACCAATTTCCTCAGGGATGCTTCCAGTAAGGTGACACTCGACGAGATTGAGATATTCAAGATTTGGCAAGGATGTCCAGTTCATGTTTTCAAGCTTTCCGGGGTGGAAACTGTAATAATCAAAATAAGGACAATAGTAAGAAAGGTTTATGTGAGTGACACTTCCTGCCCCATTGCAAGTGATGCCCAACAGCTTGCAGTGATCTGTATAAGAAAAGTTCCCCCACCAATTGCTATTGAGTAGAGCTTTCGCTTCTATCATTGACGACGACGATGTCGTAGATGCTGAGGCTAACAAACTAGTATGTAGTGCTATGAGTATAGCAGAGGAATAACAAACAGAGGAACATGCTATGCTATTTTTACTCATAACTGATGTATGTCTGTATGCACGGATTCTGTTTTGGAAGCTCTAAAATAAGTTATGCCATTTTTACTCAAAAGAGAGCTTTTATCCTTAAGAATAATATTGGTGTTGGTGAATAAATAATTCCTATTTTCTTTTTTATTTTATAAATTGTTGTAAAAAAATTTCAATTATTCATAATAGTATATTTTATTTTAATTTTATCTTTCTCATTAAAATATAAACTAAAAATTTCATTAATAGTTTTAATTTATTAAAAATTTTATAATAAAAAAATATTTTTAATTGTTGAAATTAAATGAATTTTCATAAACAAAAACATAAATATGAGATTAATCAATTATCTCATCCATTGAGAAATATACAGATTTGTCATGATATTATCGAACTTTGTTCAATTATGTTATCCATTATTTTATTTTGTTCAAAAATTTTCTATTCACAAGGATAAGAAACAAAAAATTTCTATTTGTTTTGGCAATGTTAAAACTCATATTTTGGCAAGCCATGGTACCCAAAATGGTATAAGTGTAATTTTTTGTTTTATTTTCTACATAGAATGTCAAATAGAATTCCAATCTTAAATTCTCATGACTTTGAGCAAAGCATCATTGAATTTGATTCTACTGAAAGATTTTTTTTTGTTTTTTTGTTGACATCCTTGCTAGAGATCATAATCCAATATTACATCTCTGGCATAGACAAAATAGGTTTCAGCAACTATGTTCGCCACTTGGAATCAAAAGGGTAAAATTCATCTGTTTATATATAGAAGCCGTCATCATATTAATTGTAACAACAACCAATGTCTTGAAAAAAATACGGTACTTGACATTTCCAAACATGGATTTTTTTTTCTTTCTACAGGAAATGCAAGTATTGACTTCATTTATTTATTGGATAAAATCTGTTTCTGCATTCCATAGCTATAGTAGTGAAATTGCACAAAGGGGTGTAGCTAAAGTCTTCCAGCAAGATTGAAACTCTTGAGATAAGCGTAACATTGTTGGACGAGATCATGGCTCAGAGCGCAAGACTTTGAGCAAAGCATCATTGAAATTGATTCTACAGCAAGATCATTTTTTTTTTCCTGGCTAGTATTAATAACTGTCATCCATACTGCTACTATGAGTATAGCAGTGGAATAAACAGGGGAGAAGTAATGGATTTTTACTCATAATTGAGGTATGGGTGAATTCTCTTCTGTAAGCTCTAAAAATAATCAGAGCATGCATGTATGTATGGAAGGAATCCTTAGATCAAAGAGGGTTTTTAAGAATATTGGTATTAGTAAAATAAATATATATAATAAATAATAAATAAAAAAAAGAAAGACTCATCAATTATTTAGTCATGACTCGGAACAATGAACTTTTTCACATTGGACTTGAAAGTGTCAATAGAAGGAAAGAAAAAAAAGTCTCAGGTGGTGGCCGGCTTCACAACTATGCAGCTCAAGTGGCTGCCATATGCCTCCTTCCTGTGAAAGCCTCGTAATTTTGTTTTATTATTATTATTATTATATATATTTTTTAAGGGACTTCTACAATTAAGGTGGTCATCAAAGGCTTGTTTTTATACTAAAGTTCCATATAAAATGTACAATTCTTTACTTTATTTTACTCTTTTATTTATTTATTTTTATTTTTATTTTTATTTTTCCTTTTCAGCCATTCGGTTTTAGTTTAGTCAGATTAAATTTTATAGTTGGGGAACCGAAATCAATCACATATTATAGTTTAATTTTGTCAATTTTTAATTACAAATGAGATATTCATTAGAGGCTTTAAATTTTTGTAAAATCTGTAGAACTTCACATCCAAATAAATGAAAGGAAATTATACAGATGCTCTATAAATGTATTACTATTAATAATACATGTAAGGGTTGCTTTTTCATGAATAAATTTTTTAAAATTGAAACCAATAAAATATTACAAGAAAAATAAGTGAATTAACTATTTTTTTTTTCTTTTCAATTTGAAAAAGACACATTAGAATAAATTGCTGACAAAAGTTAAGTTCCTAAATTTGCATCATAAAAAGCAAGAAAAAAATAATTTCAAATGAAAATAAAATATTAAAAATTATTATTATTATTTAATTAGCAAAAGGTCTCACTTTATAATTTTGTCTTAGGCCTCCAAAAGAGTTGAGCCATCCTTGATGATCAGGGCCAACGTTGAGTTATTTGGGACCTTTAACACTTTTGAAATTGAGCCCTTCATATAAATTTTGTTAAAAAATGTTATATACAATTATTAAAATTGTACATTAAATTTACTTAAAAAAATCAAGACATGAAAAACCATTACACTTGGTATTTTTAACTAAGAGTGAGCTTTTTACACGACATATTAAATTGACATGAACCAAAATTGATACAAAATGATAAAATAAAAAATAAATTAACTAATTAAATTAATATTGAGATAATTCTAATACGAAACCGATTGAGACAATAAGATGGCCAACCCTTCTTGTTCAGATCATCTTTAGTTGAAGATCCTGCAGTTTCTTAGATTTTCAAAACAATGTCGTTTTGTGGCTGAAAAAAAAAAAAAAAAAAAACTACACTCACACTCACCTCCTTTGAAGTTTGAAAATTAATTATATTTGGTTTATCTTGAAATTTTATTCACATGACAATTAGATCATTTTTTTCATTAGTAATTAATTATTTGTATGAATGAAAAAATAATATTATTCTCTTTTTTTAATTAAAATATATATATTTAAATGGAGACAGAAGAGAAAGACCCACCAATGACCGGAACCGGAGCTCTTGAACCTCTTCGTTTGGCCGGAGTTCTTGAAAAATAATTAACATGGCTGTTTTATTGAAATCTAAGAAACAACAAAATGATCAAATTTCAAAATTGGAACAAGAAATATTTAGTTTTCAATGGAGTAACTAACAATTAGTTTCCTATATGATTGATTTCGAAGTAATGGAATATGTTTTCGCTTCTGTTCATATGATTCTTTAACTAATTATATACAGTAGTTTTTTTTTTTGCCCTTTTGTTATGAAAGAATTAATTTGTTAACCTCTCTCTCTGACTTGTCGAACAACTAACACGTAATTTCTTTTATTTATTTATATGCTTAGGAAATAAATAAAAAAAAGCATAAATTACACCGACACCCCCTGAAGTTTCTATTTAATACAAATTTTATTTTACATTTGAAAAATTACACTTACCTCCTGTCAAATTAAAATGAAATATATACCCTTTAGCCTTTATACGTATAAAATAATAAAATAATACAGATAGTTTGTTCATTTAATTTCAAAGGAAATAACAATCATCTTCTTTGGTTTAACTCACACAAAAAAGTGAGTGCTTTTTATTTTTCGTGTTATTTTTATTTTTATTAATTTTTTTTTCAATATTTGAAGCAATTTTTTTTAAATTTTTTTTTTTAGATATACCTAATTTAGATATACTTAAGAAATATAATATTTTGTGATTTTTTTTATTTAAATTCAGTGGATTTTTTAAAAGTTTTTTTTGCATAAATTATATACTTTTTAAATATATCTAGATTAAATTGATCTAATCTAGATATAATGGTGGAAATAAAAATAAAAAATTATATTCATATATAAAAATTTATACAAAAAATATCATAAAAATACTATGATAGTGATATTGTTGTAAATATAAATAATGTTTATGGATGTTTTGTTTTCAAGTGAAAGGTCAATATTAAACTATATTATTGTGTTTGAAAATTCTATATAAAATTTATGTTTGTATATTATCATTTAATAAAAATATGTTAAGGTAAAATTTAATGATGAAAAGTTGTAGAATATAAGTCATGATGATAGAAAGAAGAAATAGTAGGAAAAATGACAAGATGGTCATTTAGAATATTTTAGTGCATGACATCAACAATTTAGGGGACAATTTGTAATGAGATTACAAACCTCTTGTGGATGGCCAATAGCAACCTGCCACGTGTCGTTAGAATGGGAATCGATTCAGATACCGTGATTGAAGAGACATTTTGACTGGACAAGTGGAGCCCGGTGTGTAATTAGCTCGGCTGGGAAAGCTAAAAGGTTTTAGCTCGGCTGGAGAGGCTAAAAGCTAGTTTAGCTCGGCTGATAAACAGGTAATCCCTATCATGCTATGCAGATGGAATTAAGGGGCAATTGAGAGGGTAATTTATATGCGAATTGGGCCGAGCTGGGTTGTTATGGGCCTCGGTGTGAAGGGTGAGTAAAAAGGCCAAAAAGTTACTCCGGTCTTGAAGAGGCTTAAATTTAGTCCGGTCTCAAGGCCAGAAGTTAGACCGGTCCGAAGGTCTCTTGGTGATTAGCTCGGTTGAAGGATGCTTTGAACGTATACCGGTCATGGCGCAGCTAAACTAGATCGGTCTATACCTTGGTAAAAAGATAGTTCGGTTTTGGGCATACCCTGGTAAGTGGAAGAGGAACAAAGGACAGAGAACCAAACTAATTATAGTTCGGCTAAGTAGGGCCGTGCTTACTTCGGTCGTATGGTAGTTCGGCCATGGTAAAACCATCTCACTTGGTTTGAGCAGTGAGGGGGGTGTTGAAGGATAAGCATTATCCTTCAGGAGCATGAATCCTAGAAGGACTCTGCATGGAGGAGTAGAAGTCCTGCTAGGATTGTGCCACACAAAACCTATAAAAGCTCACAAACATCACCTTTGGAGAGGTAACACAACTTTGATTCTCGAATTCACAGAGCTTCTTGTCTACTTGTCTGTTTTTCTGACTTAGGCATTGGAGGGGTTTTCGGCACACACCCGCCGGCTAGCTCACGTTTATGTTTTCAGGGAGTAAAGTGACAACGTTTGGAGGAGCGCAGACTTGATCAACAGGATTATACGAGAAGGTTTATTTCTTTCCCATACACCTTTATACGTATAAAATAATAAAATAATACAGATATTTT